GCTCAGAGTGGGGCACAGGCACTGCACCCTCCTCCTCCTCACCCAAAAAGGCAGGGGTGGTGTAGCTTGGGGTGGCTGATCCCACATCCTCGGGGACCACGCTCAGGAGGTCGTTCGTGGCTAAATCCCCGGGCTCAGTGTCTCGCCCAGCCACAGGAGCAGGAGTGAGTCCCTCCTCGGTGCCTGGCTGCTGCTGGCTCCATCCTCCCAGCCCGGTGGTGAGCAGGGCCTCGGTGGGCAGCTCCCAGGGCCCCTCGGTGCCATCGGGGCTCAGCTCTGGCTTCGGCTCCTCGCCTTTGCTCTCCTTCTCCGTGAAGGGATAGTAAGACAGATCCTCGTGGAAGTTGATAAAGTTATAATCGTAGTAAAAATCATCAACAAAGACATTTCCTTTCCTGGCTGAGAAGTCCTCCTCGGTGATGACATTGACATCGTTGGACTCGGGGATGTTTGGGATCGAGGGGTTAAATTTAGGGATGTGATTGCTGGGGATGTAATGGATTTCATTAAATATCTCCGTGCTGGAGGAGCCGCTGCCGGACCAGTCGGGGCTGCTGTCCCAGTTGTGGTGGCACGGTGGCAAGGAGCAGAGCCTCTCGGGGCTGGGTCTCTGGGCAGGGTCACACGGGGCCCCGCTGCTGCTGCTGCTGCTGCTGCTGCTGCTGCTGCTGCTGCTGCAGTGCACTGGGCGCTGCTGGGTCCCGTTCCCACAGGTCACGGAGCACTGGGGAGGCAAGAGACAGGGACAGCTCTGTGGGCACGGCTGGAGTGATGCCAGGGCTCCGCAGGGCTTTGGGCACAGGGCTCCCTGTCACTGTGCCAGCTCCCACCACCCCGGGCAGCTCCCGTGCCAGTCCCACCCGGGGTACTGCTCATCCCAGCAAGCAGAGCATTGCTGCCCAAACCCCCTCTGGGGCTGCCCCCCGTGCCACAGCAGGGCTGGAGCTGTGGGGACCTTGCTCAGGGTGATCCCTGACCTGCTCTCCAGCCAGAAAGAGTTTTCCCGGGAGATGGAGGCTGGGAAGGGCAGGGGTGAGATGAGCTAATAGGCCTTTCCTGTGACCTATTGCCATGAATTGCATCTCTTCTTCTGGAAGAGCATTCTTTGAAGCAGGGAATAACAACATGGGTGTTGTCTGAGTAGGGAAAAAGCAAAGGTCAGGAAGGAGCTTTGCTGGGGACACACCATCCCCCCATAATGGGCTCTTTGAGTTGGGTCACTACAAAAGAAACTGAGAAGCTGCAAAGGAGAACAACAGCATTTTCTGCTGCATCTGGGGCTTGGAGCAACCCAGACTTGTGAAAGGTGTCCCTGCCCATGGCAGGGGGTAGAACGAGATGAGCTTTAAGGTCCCTTCCACCCCAGAGCGTTCCAGGATTCTCTGGTAACACCACGTGGCCACCACCAGGTATTTCTGGAGCTGGAATCAAACCCTGGCACACACCAGCACCTGTGAGAGGGCTGCGAGGAGCTGCTCCCCTGCAGAACAACAAACCAGAAAACAAAGCAGCTTCTCTGGAAACTCCACAGAGCTGGGTGTGCAGGGCTTTGGGGCTCTCCTGAGGTCCCAGTGCTGCAGCAGCTGTGGGCCACCCAAAGCCCAGGGAGCTCCTCTGGCAGGGCCAGGAGCTCCAGTGCCACACGGGCACAGTGCTCCTGCCTGCAGACAGCTGCCCCACCCTGCTGGTGCTGCTGACAGAAGGACCATGGCTCTGGGAAGCTTCCAAGCCTCTCCAATCCCCCTAATTATGGTGGTGGTGGAAATGGAAAAGAAAGAGGGCTCTCCCTTTAAATTAAAGGACAGAAAAATTGCAGAGCCTCAAAATCCCAAACACATTTCCCCAGGGCTCACACATCCACTGGTGCCAACACCACCGAGGCCAGCTGTGAGGGCTGGGGCTGCCCTGTCCAGCACTGACCCACCAACAAGCCATAATTTTCCCTTTAAATCATTGCATCCATCTTTCTCAGCCCTTAATTGTGGCTTTTGTGGGCCCCTGGAAAAATATTTCCAACTCGCTCTCATCTTGCCTTCAAATCCTCTGCTCACATTTGATTCCATTTGTTCCTTAGCAACAAGCTCTGTTCCCAGGCTCTCTCCTTTCTCTCCTGATATTTGTCTTCACTCTGAACACTTTTGGAATGGCTGTTTAAATTAGGAGTTATCATTTTCTGGTTGAAACCCTCAGCCTGTGGTTAAGCTGATTCACAAAAACACAAAAATAAATCAAGCCTGCAGAGAGTGTCACCATTAATCACCCCATGGAATCATTTGGGTTGGAAGGGACCTTGAAGATCATCCAGTTCCACCCCCTGCCATGGGCAGGGACAGCTTCCACTCCACCAGGCAGTTCCAAGCCACGTCCAGCTGGAAACCTCATTTCTGCCCTCCTTGTGCCAAGCATGGAGCGTGGCACTCACCCTGGGTGAGGGAGCTGCAAAGCCCAGGGCTGGGGCAGAGTTAAACTGCCCAGCGCCCCTTCCTCACCCTGAGACCTCTCCAAGCAATGGAATTCCCATCTCTGGGAGCTGGGGCAGAGTTAAACTGCCCAGCGCCCCTTCCTCACCCTGAGACCTCTCCAAGCAGTGGAACTCCCATCCCTGGGAGCTGGGGCAGAGTTAAACTGCCCAGCGCCCCTTCCTCACCCTGAGACCTCTCCAAGCAGTGGAGCTCCCATCTCTGGGAGCTGGGGCAGAGTTAAACTGCCCAACCCTCCTTCCTCACCCTCAGACCTCTCCAAGCAAGGGAATTCCCATCTCTGGGAGCTGGGGCAGAGTTAAACTGCCCAACCCTCCTTCCTCACCCTCAGACCTCCCCAAGCAGTGGAACTCCCATCCCTGGGAGCCGCTGAGCCCACGGGGACACAGCCATGGATTTCTGGAGCAGGAGCACACCCACTGCTCTGGGGCAGGCTGAGGTGTCCGGGGACCCCTGTCCCCAGCTCCCACCCCTCTGCAAGGCGCTGGCACATCCCCTGTGTGCCCTCTCACCTCAGACCAGTTGCCCACAGCCCACGGGGAGGGGCAGGGCACCTCAGGGTGGCAGGGCGCGGTGGCATCCGGCTTGGCGAGGTGCTGGCAGTCTGCTGGCTGCAGGGCCCTCTGCTCGTCCAGCCCCACGCTCTGGATGCACAGCACCGTCCTCTTCATCAGCCCTGCCCGGCCACACGAGGCCGAGCACTTCTGCCACTCACCCACCCACCACCTGTGCGGGGAGAGGGGAGAGAAGGGAAAGGGAAGGGAAAGGGGAGAGGAAGAGGAAGGGAAAGGGAAAGGGAAAGGGAAAGGGAAAGGGAAAGGGAAAGGTCTCAGCCAGAGCAAGCAGCCGTGCCCCAGGATCCATCCCGCTGCCCATCACGTGAGGCCATGGGGAAAGGAGGACCCCAAATGTGTCAGCCCAAGGTCTGGGAGCTCACAGAGGGTCAGGGATGGGGCAGTTCCCGAGCTGTGCCGGGGTTGTGTGCACAGAGGCAGAGAGGAGCATCCTGCCAGGATGGGACCCCCGTGAAGCTCTGCCTGTGGGCGGGCAGTGCCCCGTGGCCATCAGGCAGCCCCAGGGATGCTGCCATGGACCCAGCCAGGGCGTGGGGCGCGTCCCCAGGGCGAGGGAGGGGAGGAAGCAGGGCGGCTGGCACCTGGCGGGGCAGGGCTCCTCGCTGCAGGGGCGCTGCTGGTCGTCGGGGCGCGTGAGCGCGTCGCAGAACCGCTCCTCCACCAGGCCCGCCAGCCTCTCCACGCAGTGCACGAGCTGCCGCTGCACCCCTGCGGGTGGGTGGGCACTGAGGGCACCCCCGGGGCACCCACAGGCACCCGGGGGGCACCGGCACCCTGCGGGCACCGGCGCGGCTTTGGAAACCCAACCCAGCAGCTGACAGGAGGCTGTGGCAAGCACGTTTCTCTCCCTCTTGGGATTTTTCATAGAGGTGCACAGAGATGAAACGAAAGAGAAAACAATTTCTATTCCTGCTCCTTGTTTTTCCCATGTGGGATGTGTTTGGAGAATTGTTTCCCTGGGGTGATTGCTTGGTTGGATTCTGGTGAGGATTGTTTGAGCTGATGGCCAATCCAACCCACCTGGGGCTGGGCTCTCAGAGAGGGTCACGAGTTGTGTTAGAGAAAGTGGTATGTAGTTTTAGTATCTTCCTTTTTATATAGTATATTAATGTATTTTAGCCATAGTTATAATAAAGAAATCATTCAGCCTTCTGAACTGAGTCAGACATCAGCATTTCTTCCCATTGTGTTCACCTGCATTTACAGTAGGAGGCCCTTGGTGAGCCTGAGCCACCAGGCCAGCAGGGAGAAAATGAAAGCACCACTTGAAGCTGCAAGTTCACTTGTGCTGAGGTTGAGATGCCCTGGCAGAGCCCCTGGCACCGGGGCAGCTGGGCAGGATGGCAGCACTGCCCGGAGCACTGCCAGCCACCGTGGGCACTGCCAGGGCTGCCCCAAGGGGCAGCTCTCGGCTCTTTGGGCAGCCCTGCCCCAGCCCAGCTCAGGCACAAATCACTGCCCAAAGCCCCGTGGCCCCGGGTGCTCCCAGGGCTGCAGGGTGACCTCAGCACACTGCCTCGCTCCGGCTTCTGTCCCCGCTCCTGCAGCACGTACCCGACCTGTGGCATGGACAGCTGCCACCACACACTGACACGGCCCTGCTGGAGCTGCTGGGCTGGGCTCTGGCCAAGCACTTGGGAGCTTGCAGGGCCGTGGGACTCAGCAGTGCTCACTGCGAGCTCTCCCAAATCTACATCTCGTCTCACATCAGGAAGAGGGGCTCAGCCCTCCTCCAGCTGCTCACCCTCACCCGACTCCTGCCTGATTCACTCCTCTGTTTCCCTTCTGTTCTGGAAGCCAAGCACTCGAGTCACACAAAGAAAAGCTGGTTTTAAACAAAGCCCATGTGCTGGCACTCTGTGCTACCTAGAAAGCACAAGTGTCCTTGAATTCCCCTTTTTTCCAGTGCCAGCTGCTCTCGAGGAAGTGCGTGCTGCTCCCAGCCTCCCCCGGCAGCGTTCCAGAAATGTCCCTCTGCACCAGCTGCCCCAAAGCTGCCCTGGGGACCCTGGGGTACCCAGCCAGTGGTGCAGTGGGGCAGGAGGGGGGAAACAAATGTCCACACACGGACACTGTGGGACCCCAGTGCTCTCCATAAAACCCTGGATATCCTCCCCCCGTGGAGAGGCCCAGGCAGGCAGGAGACCTTCCACACTCCCTGATTTCTCTGAAGCTCCTTTGTCTCCATCCCGTGCTGGGTAACAGGACACCGAGCCGGGAGCACAGTGCTGATAAAGCGCTGGGGTTCCTGCTGAGCACCACGGCTCTGACCTCAGCAGATGGCCCTTTCTTCTTCCCCCAAGACCTCGTGAAACCCAAGGCCCAGGAATTTCAAAGGCTCCACTGCCCGGGGCGGGTGTCCCGGGGGCTGCACTCACCTGTCCCGCAGGTGGCCGTGCAGGTGGTCCAGGAGCCGAAGCGCCACAGGAACTCGGGCTGCTCCACCTCATTCTCGCTGTCGGCCGGGCGCTGGATGGTGTACTGGTACCTCACCCCGGGGTTGGTCTCCTGGAACAGCAGCTGGGGGACACAGGGCACACAGAGGGGGTGAACAGCAGCTGGGGGACACAGGGCACACAGAGGGGGTGAACAGCAGCTGGGGGACACAGGGACAGGGGGTGGCATTGCACCAGGGGCTGCTCAGGGTGAAGGAGCTGCCCAGCAGGGCCAGAAGGACGTGACCCCATGCCCAGCTCCCCGACAGAGCTGGATGGGATTTGGAGTAACCCGGTTTGTGGAAGGTGTCCCTGCCCACGGGTGGAATTTCCTAAATCCTCCCACTCCAGAGGGGCTCCTGCTGCTCCTGTGGTTGACACAAGCCCTGCTGGAAGCGCCGCCCGCGCTCGCGAGGGCTGGGAGTTCATCCCTGTTTTTCTTAGCCTAAGCACCCCCATTATTGCCAAAGCTTTGTTGTTCTTGGAGCTTTGGCGGGAGCCAGGGCATCTTTCCAAAACCTCTCCATGAACATCGAAACGTTGCTGTCCACAGGTTTTAATTAGGTTACGAATCCCAGAAAGTGATTAGTGGGTGCCGAGCATGCCAGCATTCCCACTACCAGCAGCCCTGGTGGCAGCGGGCCCGGGCTGCTGCTCACATCCCACCCGAGCTGCTGCTGGAGGACAGGCAGGAGGAGGCTGTGGCTGCTGGGGCAGCCCCTGCAAAGGCAGGGATGAAATGGGGAGTGCGTGAGGCTGAGCCACGGCTGCCAGGGTGGAGCATCCTGGGGCTCCATGGGATGCAGCTCCGTGGCCACCACCACCTCTGCACCACAGCTGGCACCACGGGGGATTTCAGCCTGGTGCCAGCTGTGCCATCACGTGTGGGACGGTTCCCACTGGTTCCTGCAGAGGAAGGCTTGGCCTCACGGTCGCAAGGATATTGACTCCAACTGCTTTGCATGAGCTGGCAGCTCCCTCACTCCTGACTGTCCAGCCCAGCAGAAGCAGCAGGGCTTTTTCCCTGCTCATGATAAGATAGGGGAAAGGCCTCAGGAAACGGCTCTTTCTCCTCACACTCCCTCTCCTGTGTAAATATTCTGCGGAATGCTGCAAAGGGGATGAGGCTCAGCTGCGAGTGGTGTGGGCTGGGAACACTCCCCGGGCTGGCAGGGTGTGCTTGGCTGCTCCAGCGTTGGCTCCCAGAGAAACACACCCCGAGGAGGGGCAGAGCCCATCCCCTGGATGCAGGAAGGTCCGTGAGGGACCACGGCAGCTCAGCCCCACAAGGAGGGCGGGATCCATCCTACCTGGATCCACACGGGCTCCACGGTCGGCCCCGGAGAGGTGAGGTTCTCCCAGTTCCCTGTCCTCTTGTAGGTGAAGGTGGTCCCTGCCACCCTGTAGTCCCCGTTCCACTGGATGGTCCAGCCACCGTTCAGGAAATATTTCTCTGGGTCCTCGCTCCGCAGCGCCAGGAAATTCCCGGCTTCGGCCACTTCTTCAATCCGGATCTCCCGGGCTCCCACGGGGATAATCCCAATGTCCACATAGCCTGGGAGCGGAACCAAGCATTGGTCTTGGTGGAGTCAGAGGTGTCTGAGACGGTTTTTGTCCTTGGATTGGTGCCAGCACTGTGCCAATCCTTGCACCTCTGTAAGGCAACAGTGGGCACCAAGCCCTACCCTGCCCTGAGCTCCCTGCTGTCTTCTCCCCAAAAAATCGACAAGTTAGAATTAAACTCCCCTTCAGAAGGAGCAGCAGCAGCCCAGCTGTGCTGGAGCAGGCTCGGGGTGCTCTGGGGACAGCAGGAGGTGCCCTTACCCAGCCCCTCGCTGTCCTCGAAGGTCTTGTGCACGGTGTGGCAGGTGGAGCCGTCCCCGTGGCAGACCCCGCAGCGATCCTCCACGGCGTGCGAGTCGATCTCGTAGTCACAGCCCACGTTCTGCAAGGGAGCCCCGTCAGCCCCACGCCAGCGTCTCCCAGTCCCTGCCAGCACCGCCCCCGAGGGATTCACAGCACCCTGGGGTGGCGTGGCTTGGAAGGGACGTTAAAGACAATCCAGTTCCAGCCCCTGCCATGGGCAGGGACGCCTTCCCTGAGATCAGGGTGCTCCAAGGTTGCTCCAGGTTGCATCCATCCTGGGCTGTGCTCTGGTCCCTGAGGCCAGCACAGAGGCTGACACAGCCCGTCCCACTCACCCCACGGGAGCCAGTAACGCTCTCCAAGTGGGGAATGGCAAAAGGAGCGAGCTCAGCATGAGAGGGCGGGGACGCTGAGCACCCAAGGGTGGGTGCTGCCCCTGGGTGCTTCCCAGGTGCGGGGTGTCCCTGGGTGCCCGCGGCCCCACCTTGCAGATGCCGTTGATGCAGACGTCGCGGCTGGCGTCGCTGTCGTAGCAGGGCGTCCCGTCCACCACCGCGTCCCGCAGCTTCTCCGCAAAGTACTCGTGCTCGGGCCGGCAGTGCAGCTCGCAGGGGTTCACTGGGAACAGGCACAGACTCAGCCTGGGGCCGCCCCCCAAAGCACAAATCAACCCCCAAAGCACAAATCAACCCCGCCAGCCCAGGGTAAAACACAGAACACGGCACGAGCGGGCTGCGAGGCGAGGCTGGGACACCGGCGGCCGTGCCCGAGCCTCTCCAGGGTTGGGGTCTCTGCCCATCACTCACTGCTGTTGGGCACTGGCGTCCACTTGTAGAGCTTCCCTTTGTAGAGCATGGCGTTGAAGTGGCTGCACTGGACCTGGCGGAAGGAGGGCTTGTCCGCGGGGCAGCGCCGCACGTTGCAGATGCGGAACCGCTTCCGCTCGCCCAGGCAGTACCGGCCCCCGTACTTGGGCCTGGGGAGGAAACACCAGTCACAGGGGCTGCGAGGGCACAGACCCCCGAGTCACAGAGCTGCGACTGCTTTGGGTCGGAAGGGACCTTCAAGTCCATCCCTGTTCCACCCCAGCCATGGGCAGGGACACCTTCCGCAGGCCAGGCTGCCCCAAGCCCCGTCCTGCAGCTGCCCTGGAGGAGCTGCTCTCCAGCCCACCCAGGGAGTGCTCCTGACTCTGCTCCTCTACCGCCCCAGGGAATGGCAAAGCTGACACTGGGCTTTTCAGAGCAACAGAGACTCGGGAAGCACAACAGTGCTTTTCTCAGATGCCAGCAGAGCCTCACAGCACGGCCACCCTCTGCTGCCACGCTGCCTTTTCCTTTGGTCACCCCACTGCCCGTGGCCCACGGCCCATGGCCCAATGACCTCACGAGAATTCCTTCTCCTGGGCACACTCTGCTGAAGGCAATGAAGCTAGTGATTATTTTAGGGCTGTGTTTACACACTTGGCCCTGAGGAATGGACGTGTGAGGGGGGGATGCCCAGCACACATTTTCTCACTTCATCCCAAGGGCAAAGCTGAAGATTTACCTCCAGTGGCCAAAGCAAACAACTGCCCGGGAAATTCCCAGTGTTTGCTCTCCTGCCTGTCCACAGCTGTGTTTGGAACACTTCACAAACCACCACAGCACCTCTGCCACAGAGTTTATGTCAAACATAAATCCAGGTCCTGATCAGACAGAGCTCTTCCCTCAAGAGCCCAGCAGCGTGTACCAAACTCACCCGAGGAAGAGGACGGGCAGAACACGTCTGGGAGGGTCAGGAGCTCACTCCTGGGGCTGCCAGGATGCCCCAAGCCATGGAAAAGCAACTCCCCTGGAACACCACTACAAAGCCCTTTTCCTCCCCATCCCAGGCTGCTCTGACACCAGGGCAAGCCGGGGGTTTTGGCTGAATCCAGTGCAACAGGGATTTGTGACCAAGAGGACATCTGGGGAGCAGATGGGTCAGCAGAAATCCCAGGATGGAGATGGCAGCTCCTCCAGCAGTGCCCGGACACTTCCAGCCAGCACTGGCTGATGGAATGCAGCAGGGTGATAAACTGCAGCAGGGTTTTTCAAAACAGCTCTGAATCAGGCTGCAGGAATGCCTGGTTTGCTGCTCTGTCACCAAAGGACGCTGGGTATGTTTAACATCCCTGTGGAGGCTCTGCCCTTTGTTTGAGTCACTCCAGGGCAGGGGGTGGAACCAGTCCCTCCCAGCCCAAACCAGCCCAGCGTTCTGTCCCTCCTGGGGTCTGGGCAGCCCGGGCTCAGCCTGGCTTACGTGGGGTGGCTGCAGTGCCTCTCAGCACTCTGCACTCCTGCTCCACAGCTGCGGGAGCACGAGGCCCAGGAGCTCCAGGCGCTCCAGCCGCCGTCGATGGGCTCGGGCCGGAAGCCCACGGGAACGCACTCGCCGTTGAAGCACCACTGCAGGGACAGGAGGAGAACAACAGGCTAAGGGTGGGGAGCACTGAGCACACGGACTGTCCCGTGGACATCCCTGCTGTGCTTGCATGGAGGGGTCAGCTGGGCTCTGCCACCGCCTGGAGCTCCTCAAGCCACGGGAATCTCAGAGGTGTTTGAGGACTTGAGGAAGGCAATAAGCCCAAAACTCCTTGGAGACCCCTCAGCAAGGGGATCCACAGCCCAGTGTCAGCCCAGAGGGGCTCAGAGGTGCCTCCCCAGCAGTGGGAAAGATTCCAGGGAGGAGCAGCCACCATGGCAGCAGAACCAGCCTTGTGCTCTCCTGCCATTAACTGCGGGTTTCACCTTCCCAGGTGATTCAAGTGATTCCAGGTGAGTCACCTTCCCTGAGGGCACTCCCTGCTGGGTGTTTGGGCACAGCAAGGGCAGTGGGATGGGCACCTCTTCCCATCCCACCCCTGCAGAGCCCCTGTGTGTGCAGGAGCAGGGTTCCCGAGGCCATGGGGGGTGCCCCTGTTACCTTGCTCTCCCCGCAGGCCGTGCCGTCCACAGCCGCGTCCAGCTTGGAGTGACACGTGTTCCCCACCGTGCACCACAGCGTGCTGCAGACACTCTGTGGGAAGAGAGGGACACAGTTCCTGCTGGCACAGAGCCCTTCCTGGGGCACGGATCAGATCCATCCTTTGGGCATGGATGAGATCCATCCCTTGGGCAAAGAGCTCTCCCTGGGGCATACATCAGATCTGTCCCTCAGGCACAGACCAGATCTATCCTTTGGTCACAGATCCCTCTGTGGGGCACAGATCCATCCCTGGGGCACAGAACAGATCTATTCTTTGGTCACAGATCCATCCCTGGGGCACAGATCTATCCTTTGGTCACAGACCCATCCCTGGGGCACAGACCCATCCCTGGGGCACAGATCAGATCCATCCCTGGGGCACAGATCAGATCCATCCCTGAGGCACAGACCCATCCCTGGGGCACAGATGGGATCCCTCCCTCGGGCAGGGTGGGCACAGCCCCAGCACACCCCCCAGAGCCCCTCGCTGTGGGCAGTGTCTGTCCTTACGTCCATGTCGTCGCAGAAGGTGGAGCGGGGGCCGTACTGCAGCCGGCACTGGTGGCCCACGTCGTACAGGACGCCCGGGGGCACCAGGGGAAAGTCCAGCAGCTCCCGGGCCGGGGGGTCATCCAGGCACAGCCCCCAGCCCCGGCTGCAAGAGAGGTCACAGCGGTGTCACCGTGGTGTCCCACACCTCCGCAGGTGCCAGGGGCAGCAGCTGGTGCACGCCCGGGATGAGCCACCAGCACTTCCCACTCCCTGCAGCTGCTCCAGTGGCACCTCTGGGTGCCCTTCTGGGGTGGGAGCCCCCCAGAGTGATCCCCCACGTCCCCCTGGCGTGGCAGGACACGGGGAAGGTGAAGGGACAAAGAAGGGACAACAGCCACGGATGTCCCGGTGGAGCTCCAGAGCCGTCCCCGCAGACCTGCCCAGAGGAATAAGGGAATTTTGGAGGAACAGAGATGACCAGCAGCCGGACACTGCCATGCTCAGAGCGGGCTGGACAGGATGGCTCTGGGGCAGGGCTGGCAGCAGGGACGGGCGGTGCCTGCTCTGCTCCAGCCGCTCTTGCTGCGGCACTTCCCAAACGCTCCCGGGATTGTCCCCAGCTCAGCCCGGGTGTTGTTCCAACAAACTCCTTTCCAGCAAGGCCGAGCCTCTGGCAAGGCTCTGGGGGCGGCTCGGATTACTCGGGTTTGTTGTGATTGGGAAGGGTTCGGAATTCACGTGCAGTGAGATTCCTTTTTAAGCCAAAGGGCTGGAAGCAGGAGAGCTGCTGCTGCTCTGGGGTGCTGGCAGTGCCAGGGGTGATGCCAGCAGGGCCAGCACCCCCTCCCGCCTTTCCCATGCCACCACTGAGCTCCACACGGGACACCTGCAGACAGCTCCCTTGGCTGGAGACACTCCCTAAACTCCCATGCAGATCCTCACTGACATATACTTTTATTTCCCTATTGGAAAACCAGGAATTGGGTTGCTTTCAGCAGCCCAGGGGCTCAAAAATCTCGATTTCCAAACTCCCACCAGCAGGAGCATCCTGCTGCTCCCAGCCCAGTGGGAAGGGCAGGAGCCCTGTGGGTGATGTGGGGCTGAGCTGGGATGGATGGGGCACGGGTTGGGCAGCTGGACACAGGGTCCTGCTGCAGCCTGTGTCAGGCACACATGCACGCTGCATGGAACCTCTCCACACGTTTCCACAGAGCCCTGGAATGGTTTGGGTTGGAAGGAGCCTTACAGCTCATCCCATTCTGGAGTGTTTTCTTTAAAAACAGAAGGTGTCCTTGCTGGGAAAAGTCCAGGCTCAAGCACTTCATCCTGGATGAGCCCCAGGTGTGACACTCGTGCTGCTCTGGACTCTTCACCCTCTGCCTGTTTGGGTCCAGCACAGGTCCCCCCATGCTGTCCCCAGCCTCCTGTTCCTCTGAGCTGCCCTGCCCCAGCCCACAGAGGGGTCTCTGTCCAGTCTGGGGGTGACTGGGATCTGCCTCAGCTTTCCAGCTTTTCCAGAACCTATTTCTTTGTTAAATATTTTACAGTCATTCTCCTGGTCTGTTCAATTGGCCGAAACACATCTCCAAGCAGGGAAAAATTGGCCTGAGTTTCCCTCTGGCTTCTAGGGATCTGCAGTAAATTCCAGTCCACAGGGGATGCAGGGGCCTGCGCTTCTCTGCCTGTTCCAGCCCGTTCCTTAACAAGCTGGAGGATGGAGTGGATGGAACAGTGATTAAATCCCCATCTGTGAGCAGCCTGAGAGGATCTCCAGATACATTTGAGAGCGGGATTAAAATTCCAAAGGCTCCCAGAGAACTGGAGGAAAGGTCCAAAGAAGCCAGGACAGAATTCAACAAAAACAAAGGCAGATCTTGGAGCTTGGGGAGGACCAGCTGTACTGCCACGGAGCTGGTGGGGCTGGCAGAGGGGTGGCACGGGCAGGGCACGGTCAGCAGGCCCTGGCAAGTGGAGGATGATGGAAGAAGAGCTCCAGCACGGTGGAAAGAGGCTGAAAATCTGGTTGTCTGATGCAGAGCAAAGACTGAAGGGTCCCTCCAGCACCAGAGCATCAGCAGGCACCCTGTGCCAGCACCCTACACTGGCCTGACCAGGGGACACCTTCCTGGGGGACAGGCTGCCAGTGGGACAGGAGCTCTCCTAGTGTCCCCTCGTGTCCAGGCAGACCCTGACTGAAGGCACTGACTGCAGTGCTGGGGCCGTGCTGCCGCCGGGAATCACTTTCAGACGCTCCACCATTCAGCAGTGCTTGTGAAATAATCATTACCTCGTGTAAAAAATAACGATCACCCTCCGAGAGCGCGGCTTTTCCGAACGTGAGCTCCGTTCCAAGCACGCCCAGCAAGCCCAGGTCAGCAGGGCCCCGTTCCCTGGCTCCCTCCCTCCTGTCCTGCTGCCAGCACCCCGTTACAACCCCTCCTGTCTGAGCTGGCCCCGTGCTGGCCCCGGCCCCGGGGTGTCACAGCCGGTGATGCCAGCCTGGCCCTGCGCCGCTCCCGAGGAAGAGCTGCTCCTTCTGGGGGAGCAAGGAGAGCCAAGCCCAGCAGAGGAGCTCCCAGCTGCTCTGTCTCCCCACCACAGCTCGCAGCAGCCCGCGCTCATCACAAGCAGGAAATTCTTCATCCCCAAGTGAAGGTTAAAAGCGGAGGGCCAAGAGCGCTGCGGATGCGGGAAAGCTCCGTTCCTCTGAAAGCCATAAATCAGCAGTAATTCCCCTGCACGGGGCCAATCCACATGTCCCAGGCTGGATTTGGGAGCGGAGCCTGGCCCCGGCAGCTTCCCCTGGGCCAGCTCTCCCCTCGCTGCTCCTCACTGCCTTCAAACCTTCCTGCAGCAAGGGGGAAAAGGTTCCTCCAGTGCAAGCCACTGGCTGACAAACCAAACTCAGGGCTGGCTTCCTTGGAACTTCCTAACAACAGGCTGAAAAACCAGCCACGGGTGCTAAAAATAAACAAAGGCAGGGAAGAATTTGGCTGGGTCGGGTTTGCCCGTGACAGGCAGAGAGAATTGAAGAGATTCTGCAGAACCTGCAGGGAGCACTGAGGGAAAACACTCCGGTTTTATCTGTGCAACCACAGCCCCTGTGCCCCCTCAGAAGTTCCTCATCCCCCTTTCACAGCACAGGGAGGATCCATGGAATCGTGGAATGGGAAGGGAAGGGACCCCAAAGCCCATCTCATCCACCCCGTGCCATGGACAGGGACATCTCCCACTACTCCCAGGGATGGGGCAGCCACAGCTGCTCTGGGCAAAGACCCCCAACGCTCTTAGAGAGATATCTCAGAGGTAAGAGCCCCCCATGGCCTGACCCCCCAGCCCCAGCAGTGAGGAGGAAGAGGAGGAAGCACTCACTCGAGGAAGCGTGTGATGTACTCGCGGCTGCAGCGGGACCAGGTGAGAGGGGACGTGTCATACAGGAGCTGTGGAGACATGATGAAAGGTCTTTTCCCAACTGGCTCGCAGTCATTGCTGCTTCCATCATGCTGAATCCCAAAACTGTGTAAGAGCACATCCCATGGAGGGGAGGTGAGGCACGACCACCACAGCCACCGCCGCCGCCGCCCCCGCCCCAGGAGCAGGGACCTGCCCTGGGACGTGCTACTGACAGCCCTGAGCCTGTCCCGTGCTGTCACTGCAGCTTTCCCACTGAAAACTCAGGAATATTCCACAAGATCACGCTGGTGGGTGTTTTCCCACGCGTGGGTGTCTATTGGGAGCTGCATTGTTCGAGTGATCTGGTGGAAGTTTAACTGAAACTGGGGCAAGCAAAATTCTGTCGCTGGTATTACAGGCAGATCCTCCTTTAAAACTTCTCAATGGGCAGCCCCTGCTCCAAAACCACCCCAGGACAATACACAAGTGCAATTTCTCCAGACTGCCTCGGATTATGGGTTCTCATTAAACCTGGGACAACCCAAAACTTAACTCTGGAATGAAACCCTCAGGGAGCAAGGGAGTGTTTGTACCCGTGAGAAACCGCCTGGGAAACATCTCCCAACTTCCCCCCCGTGCCTTCTCCAGCCCCAGGGTGCACGCAGAGAGCAGGGGAGGAGGAGGAAGAGGGTGGTACCTGTGTCCCAGCTCGTGGGCCACGGTGAAGGCGAGGGGCAGCCCCGTGTCCTCGTTGATGTTGCAGCTGCGGTGGGGTTGGCACATCCCGGCCACGTGGGACAGCCCCAGGGTCTCACAGGGCCTGTTCATGGCAGCACAGATGTCCTTCCTTGGCCGAGGGCACGAGGACACACGGACAGACAGACAGACACAGAGCAGAGAGGGCGTTGGAAGGCGGCAGGACCCGGCACACGGACAGCGGCCAGACAGGAGTGAGAGCAGAGACATCCAACATCCTTCCACAGGGGAAACATTTCTGACCTTCCCTTTCCCCTCTCCTCTCCCGGTATCCCCAGCTCACTATTAAGCCTGATTAATGGAGCTGCTGGCCAGGCTGGCTGCGTTTATTCCCTTGTGTAAATAAGGCTGATGCTGGGGATAATCAAGCAATGTTTTGGGGAAGCGCATCCCAGAGGTGCCGTGGTTTTCCAGCTCCAGCCACCCAGGAAGAACAGCTCCACCGAAGCACCAGGCCTGAAGTGCCTCATTTCTGCTACAAAGCAACCTCCCGGGGAAGATAAAGCTGCTGTGGGTTGTGAATCATCACCCAAACCACCACAACATCCAGCTCAAACCAGGCTTTGACTGCAAGGTACACAAACTTGGCCAGAGGCAGGAATTCCTGCCAGCTCCGTGGGAGGTCAGGGGCTTCCCAGAGGCTCCTCTGCCAAGCCCAGCCTCTGAGGGAAAAAGGAGAGTTAATCCTGTGTACAGCTCCTGGATCCAGCCCTTCTGGGGCTTGGCAACAGGGCCACGGTGAAAACCTGGCTTGGAAACCTCAGCTGGGAGCTGTGTCCAGGTTTAAACCTGAGCTCTGAGACCAGTCCATGGAATCACAGACTCCTGGAATGCTTTGGGTTGGAAGGGATCCTAAAGATCATCTAATTCCACCCCCTGCCATGGGCAGGGACACCTTCCACAGCAGTTCCAGCCACCGGGAAACATCCCCAGACTTCACGTTACAGATCTTACATGCAGGTCTCCAGGCAGGGAGAGTGAGACTTCAACAGCTCCCAGGAGATGCTCCCCGGGCTGCCCCACCTGCAGCCAGGTGAGGTTTTAGCCCAGAGCTGTGGGTGGGCTCCACACCTGGTGAGCAGCACGGCGACGTCGTGGTGCAGCGGGTGCGAGTCTCCCTTCACGTTGATGCTCTTCTGCCACTTGCAGAAGCTCTTCAAGGTGTTGTCTGCGTGGTGGGAGATCTTCAGGTCCTCCTGCCAACATAAAGGGAGATCTGCTGGAGCTGCTTGGATTTTGGGATGGGAAGGGGAGAGGCCTGACCCCAGACACATCAGGATGGGATTGGGAGTGACTGCCACCCAGATGGAATCGCTCCATGTTTATAGCTTGTAGGCTGGGTGGGAAGACAGCCCTTTTCCTGCTTTCTTTTCATCTGTGGTTCAACCAAAACATTAAATCATGCAGCAACAGGGGTTAAGGACCGCTGCAGGAAAACCCCGTGTGCTGGCTGACAGAGAAGGACGTGGCTGTGGAGACCCCGAGTGGCCTCAGGCCCCCCCAGAGCCACCAGGGCAGCCTGGACACGACCACCCAGTGACCCAGAGCCCTGTGCCCCCACCCTGGCACTGTGTCACCCTAAACCACCCCAAACCCAGGCTCTGCAGAATTGGGCACCTGGATTTCTCCCACACCCGCTCAGCCAGGCCACGGGGCCAGCCCAGGAGGGAGCCCAGCCTGGCCTGGCCCAGTTCAGCCCAGTTCAGCCCAGTTCAGCCCAGCCTGGCCCAGTTCAGCCCAGCCCGGCCCAGCCCAGTTCAGCCCAGCCCGGCCCAACCCAGTTCAGCCCAGTTCAGCCCAGTTCAGCCCAGCCTGGCCCAGTTCAGCCCAGTTCAGCCCAGTTCAGCCCAGTTCAGCCCAGTTCAGCCCAGCCCGGCCCCACCTCCTCGCGCTCCAGCAGGACCAGGCGCACTATGGCGATGTTGATGGGGTTCCCGATGCTGGCGTGGTGGAACAGCCCCGCCACCTGCAGTGGGACACGGGGGACAGGCTGGGGACACGGGGGACAGGACAGCGGGGACGCTGCTGGGGCCGGGACAGCACCTCAGGAATTCCCACACGGGAGACGGGAGCAGACACGGGAGCGAGGCCTGCCCTGGAATCCGTTTACGCTCGGTGTGATCTGTGCAGGCGCTGCAACTCGGCCACGAGCGCCCGGGGAACCCTCTGCTCTCACTGCCTGTGCCCAACACCTCCGAGGAGCTCGGAGCTCTCGGGTGCCTCCAGCACCCCCAGAAATCCAGGGCTGCTACCTGGGCTGCTCTGCCCCATCCCAGCCTTTCCTGGCATCAACCAAAGCTTTCCTCTGGAATGTCGAGAGGTGCCACCCCCGCAGCAGCAGAGGGACAGACTGAGCCACTTCTTTATTCTTTATCTGCTTGTGTCGTGGCACCAGCACAGCCCCCAGATTGCCAGGGACGCCCCCAGAGCCTGGCTGTCCTTCCCTCAGCT